CCCTGCTAGATTGCAAAAGTTTACAGCACTAATTTTTTCCCCAGAGATCTCCATAAGGACCTACAGTCATGAACTTCTGTGACTATGTACTCAAAAAGAGAAATAATCACACATTTTGGCAGCGACTGAATTATTGTTTTCAAGTAGGATAAATCCAAAGAGACCCACACTGAGACACATTACAATCAAAAGACAAAGGAACACCTTGAAAGCAGCAGCATGAAAATGACTTGTCATGTACAAGAGATCCTCAATAATATCAGTGGCTCTGGCCAGGTACAGTGGCTCATGCCTATAATCGCACTTTAGGAGGCCGAAGCAGGCGGATCACGTGATGTCAGGAGTTTGAGACCAGACTAGCCAAGACGGTGAAACCCTGTGTCTACTAAAAATACAAAAATAAGCCAGGCATGGTGGTGCACACCTGTAGTGCCAGCTACTTGGGAGGCTGAGGCAGGAGAATCGCTTGAACCTGGGAGGCGGAGATTGCAGTGAGCTGAGATCATGCCCCTGCACTCTAGCCTGGGCGATGGAGACTCTGTCTCAAAAAAGGAAAAAGGAAAAAAAAAAAAAAAAAAAAGATCATCAGTGGATTTTTCTGCAAATCTCCAAGGCCAGATGATGTATTAAAGTGCTGGAAAAAAACCTGGTGTATTGAGGATTCTATATTCAGCAAAACTATACTTCCAAAATGAGCGATCAATTAATAACTTTTCAGAAAAACATAAGCTGAGAGAATTAATTGCCAGTAGACAAGTTATTCAAGAATTGATAAAGGGGCCAGGTGCAGTCACGCCTGTAATCTCAGCACTTTGGGAGGCTGAGGCAGGCAGATCATTTGAGGCCAGGAGTTTGAGACCAGCATGGCCAACATGGTGAAACCCTGTCTTTACTAAAAATACAAAAATTAGCCGGGCTTGCTAGTGGGCACCTGTAATCCCAGCTACACAGGAGGCTGAGGCAGGAGAATTGCTTGAACCTGGGAAGTGGAAGTTGCAGTGAGCCAAGATTGCGCCACTGCACTCCAGCCTGGAAAACTGATAAAGGGAATCAATCCTTCCAAGTTGAAATGAAAGGATTTTAGACAATAACTTGAAATCATATGAAAATATAAAGATCTATACTAAAGGCAATTACATGAAGCAATACAAACATTATGATAGTAATTTTAGTTTGTAATCCCAGTTTTTATTTTCTATACAGTGTAAAAGACAAATGCATAAAAATGACTACCAATCTATGTAAATAAGTACACAATACGTAAAGATATACTATGAGATCAGTAACAGTATGGGAAGGAAGAAGCTGTGAAGGAGTAGGGTTCTTATATGTGATTGAAGTGAAGTTGGTGTCAATGTAAAACATTGTTATAACTTTAGGATGTTGCCTATACTTATGATAGCTATAAAGAAAATACCAATGAAACATGCACAAAGGAAAATAAGAAGTGATTCAAGGCAGGGCACAGTGGCTCATGCCCGTAATACCAGCACCTCCAGAGGCTAAGGCGGGTGGATCATGAGGTCAAGAGATCAAGACCATTCTGGCCAACATGGTGAAATCCCATCTCTACTAAAAATACAAAAAAAAATTAGTTGGGCGTGGTGGCATGTGCCTGTAGTCCCAGCTACTCAGGAGGCTGAGGCAGGAGAATTGCTTGAACCCAGGAGGTAGAGGTCTTGTAGTAGGCTGAGATTACGCCACTGCACTCCAGCCTGGGCGACACAGTGAGACTCCATCTCAAAAAAAAAAAAAAAAAGAAAAAAAAAAGAAGTGATTCAAAATGGATCACTACAAAAAAAGACCTCAACACAAAGGACAATAGTAATGAAGGAAATGAGGGGAAAAAACACAATAGGACATACAAAACACAAATTTAAAATGGTAATCCTTACCTGTGTATAATTAGTTTAAGTGAAATTAATGAAACTTCCCAATAAAAAGATGTAGTTTGTCAAAATGATTGAAAGACAGTATCTAATTATATGCTCTGCACATTAGAACTAATGACATGCATAGATGAAAGGCAAATGATGGAGAAAGGTATTCCATGTAAAAAAAGTAACAGTGCAGGTAGCTATACTAACAACAGATAAATTAGATTTTAAGTCAAAAACTGTTAAACGAGACATTAATATTGCTAAAAGGTTCATTTCACTAAGATGAAACACTTATATATGCACCAAATGTCAGAGTTCTGAAATATAAAATGTAAATACTGACAGAATTGAAGGGAGAAATATACAGCTCTCCAATAATAGAGACTCCCTACCTTTCTTTCAAATGCATAGGACACCCAGACAAAAGATAAATAAGGAAACAGATAATTTGAAGAACATTATACATCAATTCAACCTAAGAGACATTTACATAACTCTCCGTCCCTCAACAGAATACACATTTTCTCAACTGCACATGAAACAGTCTTCAAGACAGACCATATATTAGGCCACAAAACAAGTCTTGATAAATGTAAAAGTTTGACACTATAAAAATATATTTTCCAATTGCAATCTAGATCATAACAAGTAGACATCAATAGCAGTATAAAAAGTGGAAAAAGACTGAGGCGAGAGGACTGCTTGAGTCTAGAAGTTTGAGACCAGCCTGAGCAACATGGTGAGACTCTGTCTCTACCACAAAAAACAAAAAACAAACAAAAAGGCCGGGCCGAGGTGGGCAGATCACTCGAGGTCAGGAGTTCAAGACCAGCCTGACCAACATGGTGAAACCCCATCTCTACAAAAAATACAAAATTAGTTGGGCGTGGTGGTGCATGCCTATAATCCCAGCTACTTGGGAGGCTGAGGCAGGAGAATCGCTTGAACCTGGGAGGCAGACATTGCACTGAGCCGAGATTGCATCATTGGACTCCAGCCTGGGCAATAAGAGCGACACTCCGTCTCAAAAAAAAAAAAAAAAAAAGTATATATTTGCTAGTTTTGTCAGCTGAGAGGGTCAAGAATCAATAACACTAAGGTAGCAGTGATCACACCCAGCACTCAGTTCTTTGTTTCTAACTACATTTTCCACAAATAGGAACCAGAAGTCCTAGGAGAAGTATCTGATCTCATGGCTAGGGTAGGGAAAATACCCAATGAACTTGAAAAATACCTAATGAACTTGGAACACACAGCACACAGTATCAGAAAGTAAACCAGTGCACAAGGAGCTCATATCATGATGAACAGGAAGAGCTAGAAGGCAAGAGGGGACTGCTTGAAGACGATTTTACTGGCAAAATCTGAGACAACCAGAGAATCAAAATAATAACAGTAGTAGATGTGAACTCATTAATATAATAAAAATTCACAAATCCACACTGGTATAAACAAATAAATAATATAGATGGAAAGCTTTTTCTTAGAGCATAATGCCAAGAAATAAACATAGAATAAGTTGGAGTATCTCAATTTTTCACCAGATAGTAGTAACTTTTTAGGGGAAAAATAATTTTAGAGTGCAGAATTCTGGAGAGAAACACCTTAATCAACTGTTCAAGTTTAGCAGCACCACTAATGGATAAAAACTAGTATCTGGTACATCCTGAGATCATGCACTAAGGAGAGGAATTGATCATAATCCAGAAAGACATAATCTTGAATGTTGGAGTCGCTGAAGATCAAAATGTTAAAAATATAACTCTGGAAAAATAATTTTAAATTATTTAGAAGATATTGATTGATTTACATTTCTTTCTTCCTTTTTTTTTTCTGAGACAGTCTTGCTCTGTCACTCAGCTGGAGTGCATTTCGCTTCCTTCCTCCCTCCCTTCCATTTATTATTATTATTTTTTTCTGAGACAGTGTCTCGTTCTGTCACCCAGATTGGAGTACAGAGGCGTGATCTTGGTCTCCCAAGTTCAAGTGATTCTTGTACCTCAGCCTCCTGAGTAGCTGGGATTACATGCATGTACCACCATGCCACGCCCAGCTAATTTTTTGTATTTCTAGTAGAGACAGCGTTTCACTATGTTGGCTAGGCTGGTCTCCAGCTCCTGGCCTCAAGTAATCCACTGGCCTTGGCCTTCCAAAGTACTGGGTTTACAAGCGTGAGCCACTGCGCCTGGCCAAGATAGAGCATCTCAATGAATTTTGTCATTTGGAAGGGCAGACTAGAGCAACAATACAGCTGTAACTGGTATAGAAATAGCAGTCAGTCAATTTTCAAAGAAGGGGGATGTATGGCATTGTGTGGTTAGCATAGTAACCTTGTTTTTATGTGTAAACAAAATTGTGAAAATGTATTTTTTTAGTTTATAAAATGAATCTAGAACGTGAGACTTCGTTTTTTAAAAAACAAAAACATAGATTGATGTGTATTAGTCCATTCCCGCATTGCTATAAAGAAATACTTGAGTCTGGGTAATTTATAAAGAGGTTTAATTGGCTAATGCAGGGTCCTGCAGGCTGTAGAGGAAGTATAGCAGCATCAGCTCAGCTTCTGGGGAGGCCTCTGGAAACTTACAATTATGCTGCAAGGCAACTAGGGAGCCAGCACTTCACATGGCCACAGTAGGAGGAAAAGAGCGAGCAGTGAGGTGCTACACAATTTTGAACAACCAGATCTCATGAGAACTCTATCAGGAGAACAGCACTAGGGGGATGGTGCTAAACCATTAGAAACCTCCCCAATGATCCAATCACCTCCTACCAGAACCCAACTCCAACATTGGGGATCACATTTCAAAGTGAGATTTGGGTGGGGACACAGATCTAAACAATATACATAGGCCAATGTATGTTTATGAGGAGAAAAAAATCTGGTTATCTTTCTTTTTTTTTTCCGAGACGGAGTCTTGCTCTGTCGCCCAGACTGGAGTGCAGTGGCACGATCATCCGCTCACTGCAATCTCCGCCTCTCAGGTTCAAGCGATTCTCCTGTCTCAGTCTCCCGAGTAGCTGGGATTACAGGCACACGCCACCATGCCCGGCTAATTTTTGTATTCTTAGTAGAGATGGGTTTTCACCATATTCTCCTGGCTGCTCTCGAACTCTTGACATTGTGATCCGCCCGCCTCGGCCTCCCAAAGTGCTGGGATTACACGTGTGAGTCACCGCACCCAGCCCCTGGTTATCTTGAAGAAGGATTTTAGATGGGTTGTTTTCTGATTTTGCCTTATTCTATTATTAATTTGTATCAACCAACATAAGCCAGATTCCAAATTGCTAACTATAATAACGATATTTTAACCAAAAAATATAAAGGGAGAAAATAAAATATTTTCCCTATGTATAAGATCCTTCTTAATGCTACTGCATTAAATAAATCATAGGCATTGGGTGTCTGACATCAATGCCAAGCGCTTCACCAGTTACACTTGCTTTGAAGTACTGGGCAATTTACGGCCTTCTCTGAAATTTGGTGTTTTTACCTCTTCAGTAGACATAATACCACGAAAAGTGTAATGAAGGAAGATAGCTTTTCCATGAGGACGAGGCTTCCCCACTGGCCCTTTCCTGCCAAACCAGTGGTACCACAGCGTCCAGAGTAGGGCCTGGCGCCTCTGTTCTTCATTGCCTCACCCAAATCATTGTACTTTGCTCATTCTTTAAACTTTTAGTTTTAGCCTTATATTATCAGTTTATAGTAATCAATCATCAATCATCTACTGACCCCTAAAAAGTCATTCCTCGTTTATTCCTTGAAGATTGGATCTCCTCGCTTTCCAATAACGCTCCTGTAGTCCTGGGAGGAGTTTAGACTTCAGGAATTCCTGTCTGTTCAGCATTTTCGCTCAAGGACTCAGGGAGAGGGAAGGACGATCCTCAGGGTCACAGTCCACATTCCCTACTAGGCGCTCAGAGATATAGGATTCGTTCCCCATGGGCATGGCGGAAATCGTAGTCAAGGATCACCGCGGAGTCCCAGCGCTTTCCCTGAAGGGTGAGATTCTGAACGTTTTTCCCTCAGCGTTCTGAGCGCAGTCCAAACGTTCAGTGGAGTCGTGGTCATTTTGGCTCACGCGGGCGGGTCCGGGGGATTCTAGGAAATGTAGTCCCGACAATCAGTGGAGTCGCGGGCACTTCCGCTCCGGGGAAGGGGGAGCGGTTGGCGCGGCGCATTCCAGCGTAGTTTGTTCCAGTTCCGCGACTTGCGGGCCATTTATACTGTCAGGGTCTTAAGCTTGGGGCTCGCTGGGACCTGGTGATCCGGTTATGGGAAAAAAAGCCTCGTCGGAGAGCAAAGGTTTGGAGGGACGAGGGCGGCGGCTTTTGTTGTGTCAGCGGAGCCTTCTTGGGATGGGGCTCTCCTCGCGTTTCGGGGCGGGAGGCGGGGGGCATTGGGACTTGGTTGGGTCGCGTCTCGGCTGGTTTCAGCGTTTCCGGGGCTCTGAGCTCGCCCAGTCCGCCTCCCTGCACTCCAGGCGCATGGTCACTTTTTTACAGTGCAAGGTTGGCTTCTTAATCTCCCTGGGCCTCTCCTTGCTGTTTTTTTAAAATGGGGACGTTAGGACCATCCTTGTAGAATCGTTTTGGTAACTGGAATAGGTTACACAACACAAGCAGTCCCTGTCACTTGGTGAGTGGTGGTTTCTTGTTAATTTCCCACGAAACCTGTCAGGTCCCCGGGTGGGGTCAGAGCCCCAGCCCTTGTCTCTGATCCCTGCAGGACGCTGGACGATCCCGGACGCCTTCTGACCTCTTTTTAGGAAGGCGAGGGTTGCGTCCACTTCCACGAAGGGAGGGGAGCATTTAACTTTTCTCGGGGACAGCGACCCAGTCAGGGTGTTTTCACAGCTTTCTCCTTCCCCAGCCTGAAAAAGGACTGCGCGGACTGACTTCTTGGCTACAGAAAGCAAAGCTCCACGTGAGTGTGACTTGTCATTTTTCTTTTACAGAGACTGTGTCTTTGTAGCATGTGTAATAGGGTATGGGCATTTATAATAATTAAGCCTTAATTGCTAACTTCAATTCTAGGGTCTTTATACAATTAGAATGTTTAAGTCGCACCGTGACTCTGTGGAGAGGTACTGGTCATCCAAGTAGTAAGAGATGGAGCTGAGGTTGGAACCTAGGCACTCAGGGTCAGAGCCCGAGTTGATCATCTCTTGGATATATTCTCATTAAGGCAGAGGAACTAGCTGGACTCAGGTGGGGAAAGTAAGTTAGAACTTGATTAAAGGACCTTAAGAGCAAGGCTAATTGGTTTGGAGTTGTCTCAGTTTTTAAAAACTGTCAACTATTTTGTGTCATTTATTACAAATATTTCGCATTCTAATAGAACCATATCACTGTGGAGCATTCAGAAATTACAGAAATATGAAGATACAAAAATTTTAATTACCTATGAAACCAGGATGTAAAGATAGTAATGGTTAAATTTCTAATACGTTTGGTTTTCGTGGTTCTATGTTTATATTTATTTACTTATGTTTTACAACATTTTTATTATACATTTCTCAGTGTTTTTCTACTTATCTGCTTATCCATGGAAATTTCCAAATACGGAGATAATAAACTAGCAACCTGCTGTGTTCTATCATGCTCATTCTTATTCTTCTCATTATTACTCCTGTGACTATTTCCCGATTTTTTTTTTTTTTTTTTTTTTTTTTTTTTTTTTTTAGATCCTTTTTTTTTTTTTTTTTTTTTTTTTTTTTTTTTTTTTGAGACGGAGTCTCGCTCTGTCGCCCAGGCTGGAGTGCAGTGGCCGGATCTCAGCTCACTACAAGCTCCGCCTCCCGGGTTTACGCCATTCTCCTGCCTCAGCCTCCCAAGTAGCTGGGACTACAGGCGCCCGCCACCTCGCCCGGCTAATTTTTTTGTATTTTTTAGTAGAGACGGGGATTCATCGTGTTAGCCAGGATGGACTCGATCTCCTGACCTCGTGATCCGCCCGTCTCGGCCTCCCAAAGTGCTGGGATTACAGGCTTGAGCCACCGCGCCCGGCCTATTTCCCGATTTTAAAAAAACTTTAATACAGTAATTATACAATCTTAAGTCTATAGAAAAGTTGCAAAAATGGCATAAGAGGGCAGGGCATGGTGGGTCAGGCCTGAATCCTGAGTTATGGAACCAAGGCACCCGGGGTCAGAGCCCGAGTAATCCCAGCACTTTGGGAGGCCAAGGCCGGTGGATCACTTGAGGCCAGGAGTTCAAGACCCACCTGGCCAACATGGCAAAAACCCCTGTCTCTACTAAAGATACAAAAATTGGCTGCATGTGGTGGTGCACGCCTGCAGTCCCAGCTACTCTGGTGGCTGAGGCATGAGAATTGTTTGAACCCAGGAGGAGGAGGTTGCAGTGAGCTGAGATTGCACCACTGCACTCCAGCCTGGGTAACAAGAGCAAAACTCCATCTCAAATAAATAAAATAAAATAAAATTAATTTTTATGGGTAGATATACTTGTTAGCAGGCATCGTACTGTAAAGACCAGCATCCCCTGTTCCCCTGTTTGCTTATTCATTCATTCAGAAGTAAATATTCTATCAATATGGACTCAGAACTCAGTCTTGTTAAATGACATGTAGATTAATAATTTTTTTCCAACTTTATTGAGGTGTATTTTACATGTCAGAATTCACCCATTTCAAGTGTACAATTCAGTAATCTTCAGGAACTTTGCTGAATGTAGTAATTGTCATCATAATTTAGTTTAGATCATTTTCATCCCCCAATTGGACTCCTCTTGCCCATTTACATTCAATCCCCCTTCTTACCCCAAATCCCCATCAACAAGTAACCTACTTTCTTTTTATATACATTTGTCTGTTCTGGACGTTTCATATACATGAAATCATACCATCTGTGGTTTTGTGTGCCTGGTTTCTTTCACTCAGCATAGTGTTTCCAAGGTTCATGCATGTTGTAGTGTGAGTCAGTACTTCATTCCTCTTAATTTCCAAGTAAGATTCCATTGTATGGATATGCCAGGATTTGTCTATCCATTTTTCCATAGGAGGGCATTTTGGTTGTGTGCAGTTTGGGATTATTATGAATAATGCTGCTGTGAACATTCATGTGCTAATTCACAATACACTTCTGTGTTGGTGGGGACATCCCTGGCCACACTTTCATGTCTCTTTTCATATCTTCCATAGTGTTCCAGGCACGATTCTGCCTTCTCTCAAATGGCATAACTCAGGACTCTGCAAATTTCCAGAAACAGGAGGAAAAATGACCACATTCCAGGTGAATAAGGCTTGTCTCTCTTGCTGTTAAAATTCCATCTCACTATTCACATTGTCATGTCACCTGAGGAAGACTCAAGAACAACAGGCATTTGAGGACCTGTTTATGCTAAGTGCGTCCTTCTGCCTTTTGAGTTGACTTTGTTTTTAGATGTTGTTTATTTTATTATTTCAGTCGACCTTCTGTATCTGTGGGTTTCACATCTGGGGTTTTGCATCTTTGAATTTTGCATCTGTGAATTCAACCAACCACAGATTGAAACCTGAGTACACGTAAGGCTGACCATACATATTTTCCTTTTGTGGTTGATTGAGTCTGCAGATGTGGAACCCATGGATATGGAGGGCTGACTGTAGTACAAACACTATTTTAGGTAAGGGACTTGAGCATCCACAAATTATGGTATCCTCAGGGGTCCTTGAACCAATTCCCCAAGCATATTGAGGGACAACTGTATTTATTTTATGGAGTAGAAAAATTAGTGGGAATGAACAGTTCTCTTGCTTTACTTCTCTGCTTACATATTAGCTGTTTTTATTTTCTTAGAGTCTTTTCCTAATGTGCATTCATAACTATATTGGTATTCATGATATATATCTCATTTTTTATTGTTATTTTTTCCTTAAGTACTAAATAATGTTCATTTTTTGAGGTTATGCCATATTCCCATTTAATTAATGTGTCTTTTTATTTTTGACTACTTTCCACTCATGGACATTTAGGTGATTTAAGAATTTTATTGTTTTAAATAACACTGCAATGACAATTTTCCTACATGACCATTTCCTCAAAAATCAATTCTGAAAACTTTCTGCTGATTTTTTTGTCACTGCAACCTCCACCTCCTGGGTTCAAGCGATTCTCCTGCCTCAGCCTCCCGAGTAGCTGGGATTACAGGCGTGTGCCACCATGCCCAACTAATTTTGTATTTTTAGTAGAGACGGAGTTCCTCCATGTTAGTGAGGCTAGTCTCGAACTCCCAACCTCAGGTGATCCGCCCGCCCTGGCCTCCCAAAGTGCCGGGATTACAGGCATGAACCACCGTGCCTGGCTGTAGATAGAATATGCTAATTCTATAATGGTACTTCACACAAATAATATTGTTGGAGTTTTCATATAGGAAGAGCTAGATTCTGTGTTCTCTGTGCCTCAATCATACTTTGTATGTATTTTATTTACTAGTGTCTTATTGCCTTTATAAAGTAACCATTTTGACCAAAGTAGTAGGTAATAACCTTCATTTAAAATGTCCAGTGATACTGAAGATTTGCCAGTCACTTGTGTTCTGTTACTGCATTTACTCAGAGCAGCAGAATGAGGAGGTTCCTGGTCTCTTCTTCCTCTTAAACAGGTGAAATATGAGAAACCTGCTCAGATTGGCATAGGAAGTCAGGGGTCAGAAACATTAGCCATTCCATTCAAGTGAAAGTGAGAGACAAAAAGAAACAAATATTTCTCAATTGAATGACCCATGGTGTGGATGTCTGGAGTGCCCTGTTGGGTGATGATATCCACAGGTAGTGGGGGACCTCTTGTCTTCCTAACGTGGTGGCACTGTCCTAACATGGTGGCAAAACTCTGTCTCAAAAAAAAAAAAAAGAAAAAGAAAAAGAAAGACCTACATGAAATGATGTTCTTTGCTGGATTGGTTATAATGAGAACAATATTGAAAATTAAATATTCATTATTTAGAACAGGTAGATGCAGATCATCAGTTCCCTTGAACAATATGCAGTCATGAAATGAGGTGAAATAGATGATGACAACAGTAATAAATAATAGCTAATGTTTCTCAGGCACTTAGTCTGTGCCATACACTATTTCAAATGCTATTTGTAGTCTCTTGTTCAATGTTTGAAAGAACTCTGACATATAAGAACTATCATACCGAGATGAAACTAGGTGAGCTTATCCAAGGTCACACAACTTTGAAGGGTACCCTTGTGTGCACTGAGGCATGATGGCTCCGGATCATGACACTGAATGGTGCAGGTAATGATGGTGCTGTGTGCCCTGGGTGTACAGAAGGAAAACTACATAGCAGTTTCAGATATGTTACCAAAAGCCTGTTAGTTTGGCAGACTTTAATGAAAAGGGATAGCATCCAGGGTTCCTATGTGAGAGAGGAGGAAGGTGGGTGTTATCATGTATGTTGGTTCTGACTTGCTAAATGTTTCTGGGGCAATTGGTAATATTTACCAAAAGGTGAAACCTGTATGGCTCAGGATGCATCATTTAGAGTTCTAGATGGTTACTTACAAATAAACTCAGTGAAGCCACAAAGGAAATGTCGAAGGCTATTGTAACTGATGTACTTTTACTGACGCTAAGGAGAATCAAAGTGTGGCATTGATAAGATGGAAGGAGAAGGGCTGAGAAATCTACACATTAAGTCTCTGAAAATCAGGACCAGCTTCCCCCACATACTCTCCACTTTCTCAGTGCTGTTTCTTTTCAAGAGGTTATTAATAAGGCTGAAGTGAGGTGTGTTTAATGTTATAGGAGGGACTGACCTTCAAGGATGTGGCAGTGGTCTTCACTGAGGAGGAGCTGGGGCTGCTGGACCCTGTCCAGAGAAATCTGTACCGAGATGTGATGCTGGAGAACTTCAGGAACCTGCTGTCAGTGGGTGAGGACATGAGCCTTCTGACACTCAATGTCAGTCTCCTGGAGTGATTTTGTGTCTTCACGGGTTCAGCACTTTGGAGGTCTTCAATTAGTTGCCTGCATTTGTGGACCTGACTTTCCTATCAGTAGTTTTAGTGAAATAAAAGAGATAGAAAATATTAGAGTTCATTAAAAGAGGTGGAATACATAGCAAATAAAACTGGTAAATCACATGCGTGGTGTGAGAACCTGTGGGAGGAGATTTATTGAAAATAGGTGGGGGCCAAGCACAGTGGCTCACGCCTGTAATCCCAGCACTTTGGGGGGCTGAGGTAGGTGGATCACCTGAGGTTGGGAGTTCGAGACCAGCCTGGCCAACATGATGAAACTCCATCTCTACCAAAAAATAAAAAAATACAAAAATTAACCACGTGTGGTGGTGCATGCCTCTTATCCCACCTACTTGGGAGGCTGAGGCATGAGAATTGCTTGAACCCAGGAGGCAGAGGTTGTAGTGAGCCTAGATCACGCCACTGCACTCCAGCCTGGGTGACAGAGTGAGACTGTCTCAAAAAAAAAAGAAGACATTAGTTAGAGATGTAAGTTTAGTAACGCACCAAGATGTAACAGTTTTTCTGTTGTTTGAGGTAATACCCAGAGTTTTTTGTTTTATTTTTAAGAAGATTAATGAGTACAGACAGAAAGGTGAGGTTGGAGTAAAAGTTTAATAAGCAAAAGAAGAAAGCTTTTTGCCAGCAGAGAGGGGGACCCAAACAGGGTTCCCCCTATGAGGCAGGGGTGTGGGATTTTTATGGACTGTGAAGGGGAAAGAATGTGCTGTTTGTGGGCTATTTTGGAGAAAGTGTGACTTAGCTTGGCCCCGGGACCTTGGCCTGGAACCAATCAGGTTGAAGTGAAGATTTGTAGAGGCCAGACTTACAGTTTGAACAAAAGAAAGTGGAGTGCCCACTGGAACCCACTAGAGCGCACTGTACCCATGCCCACAAAAGGAGAAGAAACTTTCCTGGGAGCCTGCTGACTACAAGGGACAAAGGCATTCTTATGCCAGGCCTTCCTCCTTTATCTGAGTGAGCTGGAGGTTTGTATAAGTTTTTATCCAAATGGGCTGGAGGTTTTTCTATCTGTGCAGCCGTGGGCATGTCTCCAGGCACAACACCCTGTGCTAGTTCTCTTATTGGTGCCTGCAGCTTAAATGTTTTTTCCAGGCTGCTCTTTATGTTTTATAAAAATAAGGCACTAACCCATGGGTCAGGAGCTCTCCAAAGACCCTTCCCTTGCTGTCTACCTAAGGCAAGTGAACTAACTCCTTTCAGAAATAGGTTTTTATAGCACATATTTGTGTATATGTTTCTGGATCTTGAAATACTGATACTACTTCATTAGGTGTTTCTAAAAGTGTTTGAAAACCCTTCTTTTGATTGATTGATCAGTATACAGTAGTAATTCAAATTGCCAGTAAGTTCAATTGTACCTTTAGTGTGTTTGTTTTAAACATGTGACTTTGCATGTTCTAGGGCATCACCCCTTCAAACATGATGTATTCCCTTTAGAAAAGGAAAAAAAGCTTGGTATGATGAAGACAGCAACTCAAAGAAAAGGGAAATCAGGTAAGAACCAAGTAGCTGAGAGTCCTTGTACGTGATTGTCCATCTGTTGTACTTCTGTCCCCTGCTGTTGCTGTCATCTGGTCCAAATTGCCAAACCTCTGTCCTGGATGATTGCAGCAGCCTTTGTATTGGGTGCACTGCTTCCACCCTTAATAGTATAAAGTATGTTCTCCTACAGGCTGTTCTCCATGTCGCAGCTAAAGTGATCCTTTGGAAATGTAAGTCTAATTGCCATTCTTCTGCTTAAGACCTTGTACAGGGCTGGGCATGGTGGCTCACGCCTGTAATCCCAGCACTTTGGGGGGCCAAGACAGGAGGATCACCTGAGGTCAGGAGTTTGAGACCAGCCTGGCCAACATGGCAAAACCTCATCTCTACTAAAAATACAAAAATTAGCCAAGTGTGGGGGCGAGCGCCTGTAGTCCCAGCTACTTGGGCAGCTTAGGCAGGAGGCAGAGGTTGCAGTGAGCCGAGATCACACCACTACACTCCAGCCTGGGCAATAGAGCGACACTCCATCTAAAAAAAAAATAAAGACTCTGAATGACTTCTTATTTTTCTTAAAGTTGAAGACTCTTAAAGGAGCTTATAGAGTCCTACGTGGTCTGCTGTTCATCCTCCTCTGCCTCACTTACTACATCTCCTGTATTCTACCTCTTGCTCCATCTTTTCCAGCCACATCATCCTCCCTGCTGTTTCCCAGACCTGCTAAGTACACTGCTCGCTCTGTCGCCCAGGCTGGAGTGCAGCGGTGCAATCTCAGCTCACTGCAACTTCTGCCTCCCAGGTTCAAGCGATTCTCCTGCCTCAGCCTCCCAGGTAGCTGGGATTACAGATGCCTGTAACCACGCCCGGCTGATTTTTGTTTTTTTTGTAGAGACAGGGTTTCACTGTGTTGGCCAGTCTGGTCTCCTGAACTCAAGTAATCTGCCTGCCTCAGCCTCCCAAAGTGCTGGGATTACAGGCATGAGCCACCGTGCCCAACCTGGACACCGTATTCTTACTGCTCTCATGACATATTACCCCAAACTGAGTGGATTAAATGATAAAAATGTATTGTCTTTCAGTTCTTTGTTTGAAGTCCAACATGGGTCTCACTAGGCTGAAATCAAGCGGTCAGCAGGTCCGTTTCTTCCCGAAGGCTCTAGGGAGGGAGAATCTGTATCTTTACCTTGTCAGTGTGTAGGGGCTGCCAAAAAATTTCATAGCTTGTGACCTCTTCACAGCCCAGCGACATTGCTTCTCTGATCTTTCTTCCATAGTCACATTTCCCTTTTATTCTCTCTTTATCCTTTTTCCACTGTATAAGGACCTTCTAATTGCATTGGGCGCACTTGGATAATAGAGAATTGCCTTCTATTTTTAGTTCAGCTGATTTGCAACCTTAATTCCCTCTGCAACCTTAATTACCCTTTGTCATAACCTGACATATTCTTAGGATGAGAATTAGAACGTGAATTCTTTGGGGGATGATTATTCTGCCAACTACAGATACTTCTGCCTCAAAGCCCTTATTTGCCCTTGTCTTTGCCTGGAAAAACTCACCTACAATCCTCTCGGCCCCTCTCTTAGTTCATCCTGGTCTCTGCTGTTTTAATTTCACAGTGGAAGCCTTTTCTGACGACCTTACTGGAAATGCCATCCTTTACTCTCTGCCCTGCCTTCTCTTGTGTCTCATAGACTTTGGTTTACTTGCTTGTCCCCTCTTTCTCCCCACTGGAATATAATCTCCAAGAGTGGAGGAATTTTTTTGTTTGTTTATTACTCTACCATTGGTGCCTAAATAATTCTGTTACATGGCAGATATCTGTTAATATAATTATTTGTTGGTGTAATGAAGGCGTTATGGATGGATGCGACCTCACTCTAGGGGTCTTGCAGCTAGGACAGGTCATACACAAACCAGAGTGAATGAAGGGGGTTGCAGAACATTATTTGTTTTCTGATGGCCGCACATCCAGTTTCTTCTGCCTTAGGTGCCCTTCACATGAATGTTTGTGTGTGCACTTGAACCTCATCCCATGAAAACTTACAAGCATCGTGTTTGTGACCACACTGAGTAACAAGCCTTCCCGTTGGCTTTCCTGGAGGCTTTCATAGTATGGAACACATTCATTTCTGGGAAGGAATAATCTTCGAATGAAGATTCTGATGTCTACTTCTGAGACAGCTCACCACACAAGAAGATAATTATTTCCTAAGGTGTCAGACAGTAACTAGGTTGCAAACTGCTTTCCTTTCAACAGACTGCCCATCTGAACCTCATTTGCTTGTTCCAAAGTGCCCATCCACATCACTGCCCCCAGGTTTCACCTCCCCTATCCCAGAGGTGGAAGATTTGAGTGGCAAAAGTGACACAGTGGAATGTTGCCTAACTCTCTGGTTCAAAAATATACTATGCTTTTATTTTCTACAAATGTAGTAGCCACTAAGCATATGCTAAAGAATATAGATGTCATACATTTTTTCCTTTATTTTTATAAAGACCTGGCTTTTACTTTCAACTAGTTGACATTATAACTTGGGAAAAATGAAGAAACTTCTTGCTCAAAATTGTCACATTATCAGAGAGACTTGTCCCCCTCCAAAAACTATTTTTAAGGGTTAGTTTGTTAAATATAATCATATATTCATCATATATATATACACACATGTGTATATATATATAATATACCAAGAGTTACATACTCTCCTATGAATATTTTTCCAAGGTGTCGCGGTTGGAAATTATCTTTCCATTTGAAGCAGTTTGTTTAATTCAGGACCAGGTAAGTTCTAGAACCAAAGTTTTCCAGCTCTTTTGAGCATAAGCCATAGCAAGAAATGCATCTTTCATGGAAACTAGAGAAATGAAACAAACATTTCATGTCTGTATCGATTGACATTATAGCTTTAGTAAGCATTATACATAAGGACCCCTTTCCTGTTGGTGTTAATACTCTGATACTTTCTATCCTGGTTCTTTTTTTCTGATTGCTTATTACAAGCTCTTAAGTTTATTTCACAGCTCACTAAAGGGCTACAGTTTTTAATTTGAAAAACTGTTGTGAAAGGCCCAACTTACCTACATTGAGAGCTTCAGAAGGAACCAGTGTATAGGGCTTCCTGCTTTCTTTTCATCCCAAGTGATTCTTGCCACCTTCAAATTTTCTTATTAGCCTCACCCTGAATGTGCCTGTCTCTTATACAGCTTTTCAGCTTCTCTGAAAAATTACAATTTTCTATTCTTTTCCTATTTCAAATAACTTATTTGGAAAAGATGTTTAAATTCTGACAAAAAAAGAGTCAAGCTGGGGTTCATTTATTCATTTGACATGCATTTATTGAGCATTCACTGTGACAAGCACAGTTCTGGACAATGGTTAGAAAGTAGGAAAGTGTAAAAAAAAATAAAATTAAAATTAGAAAATGCTTCCCTCACTGATGCTGCATTGTGGTGGGAAGGACATACATTAAACAACCAGTAACTTAGTGTGCCCAGTGGTTAAAAGTGCTGTGAAGAACATAGACAAATTCAAGTTGCCAGAGGTGAATAGGGTGAAGACAGAATTCATTATTTTTCAATGGGTAATAAAGCAAGCCTCATTGGTGAGCTGACATTGAGCAGAGACCTACAAGATGTGAGGAACCGTCCATCTCGCTATCTGGGAAGAATTCCTGCCTGAATATAACTCCTGCTGTGGGGGCGGCTTTCAAAGTTTACACTGTGACATCATCTTTTTCTTTTCTCTGTCTCCATATCAGTTGTGAAATATTGGAGTCTACTTCTTTTTCACTTCTTTTTTTTTTTCTGGAGGTCTGAATTACTGCCAGATTTTAGAATAATATATGTTATCAGTTCAACTTTCTTTCCCTTTAGTCCTCATGTAGGAAACTTGCTGACAGAAGCTAAAGTTTCACCATCTGCTTATCTGCTTATATTTTAGTCAGTATGTGGTTAGATACTTACTCCCAGCCTGCAAGTCATGTTAACCATTCCAGTCATCTGGACATTGAAGTAACTTTCCAATAAAATGACCCAAGGCAGAATTATATAGACTCCATTTAACAAATGTCTACTGATACAGTAGACTTTTTTTTTTTTTTTTTTTTTTTTTTTTTTTTGAGACAAAGTCTCACTCTGTCACTCAGGCTGAAGTGCAGTGATAAAATCATGGCTCACTGCAGCTTCTAACTTCTGAGTTCAAGTGATCCTCCATCTCAGCCTCCCAAATAGTGGGAACTACAGGTGCGTGCCACCACATCTGGCCAATTTTTTAAAAAGTTTTTTTGTAGGGACAGAGTCTTGATGTGTTGCCCAGGCTGGTTTTGAACTCCGGGGCTCAAGTGATCCTCTGGTTTCAGCCTCCCAAAGTGCTTGCATTACAGGTGTGAGCCACTGCACCCTGCCAAGAGGCAGCTTTTAAATGACTATTCCTGCAGGGAGGGGAGTAAGTTTTTCCCCTGTAAAAATTTTCTTAGAGGTACTTCTTTCCACTAAACTTTTGTGGAAAAGTTCATTTAAAAAATAATTTCCAAATATTTGTATGTCTTTGTACAAGATTACACATTTTGGAATATTATTAAGGATAAATAAACCTTTCAGAAGACACATTTTAAATCTAAGTTATATTAGAAGTGGTCAAGAGTTTATAATAGCTGCCAACTCATTTAATGTCTATCAACACAGAAAAATAAGATTAAGTGTATGTGTTATGCAGAATATTCAATAATATGGTTGATCCTTGAACAATATGGGGGTTAGGGACACCAACTCCCCTCACAGTAAAAAATCCATGTATAACTTTTGACTCCCCCATAAAACTTTACTCATAGCCTACTTTGACTGAAAGACCTACTGATAACATAGTCAATTAACACATATTTTTATGTTATAATGTATTATATACTGTATTCTTACCATAAAGGAAGAATTCTTTATTCTTACAATAAAGAGAAGAGAAAATGTTATTAAGAACATTATAAGGAGGAAGAGAGGGGTTGATCTTGCTGTCTTAGGGATGGCAGAGATGGAAGAAAATCCATATATAAGTGAACACATGCAATTCAAACCTGTGTTGTTCAAGGTTCAACAGTATTTTGAACATGTAAATATAAATATTTCAGGTTATTTAATAATTTGAATATGTAACATGAACCTAAACTGCAAAGTATTTGATTATTTTCTTACTTTCCCTTGATGTCCTTGTTGATTCATATTATCTACATTTTTTTAACTTTTAATATTTTTAATAGAGATACATTCTTGCTTTGTCTCAAACCCCTGGCCTCAAACTATCCTTCTGCCCCAGCCTCCCAGAATTCTGGGATATACAGGCATTACAATGCCTGGCCTATGCTTTTTATATTTGTATAATTTACTATTTATTATTCTACACTGACTTTAAAATTGGATGGAAATGGCAGTACTTTAACAATTTGTATCGTGTTAAATTTTAAAATTAACTCTGACTTCTACCTTGTGTCTCACATAGGAGACTTGGTGTGGTCTAATGCCTGGTAGATAGCAGCCAATTGGACCACCTCTTGATTTATCTAGGCATGGAAATCAGAGATCATGATACACAGTGGAAAAGACCATTACACAAACTAGACCTTCTCTGGATTTGTTAAAATCCCATGCTCTCACTTAAGTATGACATCTTGAAAACTTTTAACAGAGCTTCCACATCTCTGAATTCTCTGTCTTTACAGCAGACAAGATCCAAAGTGAGATGGAGACTGTTCCAGAAGCAGGACGACATGAAGAGCTTTCCTGGGGGCAAATCTGGAAACAGATTGCATGTGATTTAATCAAGTATGAAGACTCTATGATAAATATTTCTCAGTTCTCCAAACAAGGTGATTTGTCCTGCCAGGTTAGGGCAGGACTGTATACAACTCACACGGGACAGAAACTTTACCAATGTGATAAGTACAAAAAATCCTTCACTGACGTCTGCAACTTTGATCTTCATCAACAGTTACACTCAGGAGAGAAATCTCATACATGTGATGAGTGTGGAAAAAGCTTCTGTTACATCTCAGCCCTTCATATTCATCAGAGAGTCCACATGGGAGAGAAACGCTATAAGTGTGACGTGTGTGGTAAGGAATTCAGTCAGAGCTCACATCTGCAAACTCATCAGAGAGTCCACACTGTAGAGAAACCATTCAAATGTGTGGAATGTGGGAAAGGCTTCAGTCGTAGATCAACACTTACTGTGCATTGCAAATTACACTCAGGAGAGAAACCTTACAATTGTGAGGAATGTGGGAGGGCCTTCATACATGCTTCCCATCTTCAGGAACATCAGAGAATCCATACTGGGGAGAAACCATTCAAATGTGATACATGTGGTAAGAACTTCCGTCGTAGATCAGCACTTAATAATCATTGCATGGTCCATACAGGAGAGAAACCATACAAATGTGAGGACTGTGGTAAGTGTTTCACTTGTAGCTCAAACCTTCGTATCCATCAAAGGGTCCACACAGGAGAGAAGCCTTACAAGTGTGAAGAATGTGGTAAGTGCTTTATTCAGCCATCACAATTTCAGGCCCACCAGAGAATCCACACTGGAGAGAAACCATATGTATGTAAAGTGTGTGGTAAGGGTTTCATTTACAGTTCAAGTTTTCAGGCCCATCAGGGAGTCCACACTGGAGAGAAGCCATACAAATGCAATGAGTGTGGGAAGAGCTTCAGAATGAAAATTCATTATCAAGTGCATCTGGTAGTCCACACAGGGGAGAAACCCTATAAATGTGAAGTATGTGGGAAAGCCTTCCGTCAGAGTTCATATCTTAAAATCCATCTGAAAGCACATAGTGTACAGAAACCTTATAAGTGTGAGGAGTGTGGGCAGGGCTTCAATCAGAGCTCACGACTTCAGATTCACCAGCTGATCCATACCGGCGAGAAACCATACAAATGTGAAGAGTGTGGCAAGGGATTTAGTCGTAGAGCAGATCTTAAAATTCATTGTAGGATCCACACAGGAGAGAAACCATATAATTGTGAGGAGTGTGGGAAGGTCTTCAGTCAGGCTTCGCATCTTTTAACCCATCAGAGAGTTCACAGTGGGGAAAAACCATTTAAATGTGAAGAGTGTGGGAAGAGCTTCAGTCGGAGTGCACACCTTCAAGCCCATCAAAAAGTCCACACTGGAGAAAAGCCATACAAATGTGATGAGTGTGGGAAGGGCTTCAAGTGGAGCTTGAACCTTGATATGCATCAGAGGGTACACACAGGAGAAAAACCCTATACCTGTGGGGAGTGTGGGAAGCACTTCAGTCAGGCATCAAGTCTTCAACTTCATCAGAGTGTCCACACAGGAGAGAAGCCATACAAATGTGATGTGTGTGGTAAAGTCTTCAGTCGGTCTTCACAACTACAGTATCATAGGCGAGTTCACACTGGGGAGAAACCTTACAAATGTGAGATATGTGGTAAGAGGTTCAGCTGGCGATCAAATCTTGTAAGTCATCACAAAATTCATGCTGCTGGTACATTGTATGAAAATGATGAGAATAATAAGAACATCAGAGAGTTGTCAGAGGAAGGAAGCTCTACAAAGTGATTAAAAACAAACAAAAAAAACTCATGTACAACCTGAATGCCTGTAATCAGATTTCATAGGAGAGAAAAAATTTTCTTTATCAACCTCCTTGAATTTATTCGATTTGTAATGCTTCACATTTCCACCTAGACTTTTTTTTTTTTTTGAAACAGGGTCTTGTTCTGTTGCCCATGCAGGATGCAGTGATGTGATCTCAGCTCACTGCAACCTCCACCTCCTGGGTTCAAGCAATTCTGCCTAAGCCTTCCTGGGTGGTTGGGATTACAGGCGCGCACCACCACGCCTGGCAACTTTTTGTATTTTTAGTAGAGATGGGGTTTCACCATACTGGCCAGGCTGGTCTCAAACTCCTGACCTCATGTGATCCACCCACCTCGGCCTCCCAAAGTGCTGGAATTACAGGTGTGAGCCACTGCCCCTGGCCGCCATCTAGACTTTGAAATGATTGCCTTCTAATTACAATAGCATTCTCTTATTTAAAATATTTGTTTTATTTAAGTCAGTGTTTAAGCAATAACTCAACATATCCCAGTGGTCCAGTGACCACACAGCTGAGAACCCTTGTTAAGTGGTACAGTAAAGAATCTGTCAAAACTTTGACATTTATGACATGTCACCTAGGAAATAGGACTTAGAAAATGAGTTTGACCTGGGCTTTAAAAAAGTATACTGATGAAGGTGCCAGAATTGATGTCCATTAGACTGTAAGCTTCATGGGGTCAGGAAGTTTGCTGCTGAATCTATACAATGTTAACGTTGAGTAGTGCTTGTAGGTGTGCTCAATACTTGTGTGTTAACTGAATCAAAAGGAGTAAATGTACAATATTTTAACATTGCATCCAAAGGAAGAAACCTGTAAAATAAAATTATTTGGGGAAATGAACATTGTTGAAATGCAGAAAACCATTGGATACTACAGCCTACAATATTAATATGGTATCACCCTTTTACAGTTGACACCTGTCTTCTCTCTAGTCTCTCCTCTCAAATTTGGTTCTTATTGTTTGAGAGCCTGTCTAGTTTCCCAAGGGTTGTATAAAACATAAGTTGAAGTACCTTTATTTTTAATTTTATTTTTGAGACCAGACCTCGCTCTGTCACTGAGGCTGGAGTGCGGTGGCATAATCATGGCTCACTGCAGCCTCGTCCTCCCAGGCTCAATCCATCTACCCATCTCACCCTCTGAGTAGCTGGGACCACAAGCACGTGCCACCACTCCCAGCTAATTTTCGATGTTTGGTAGAGAAAGGGTTTCCCCACGTTGCCCAGGCTGGTCTTGAACTCCTGAGCTCAAGCAATCCACCCTCCTTGGCCTCCCAAAGTGTTAGAATTACAGGCGTGAGCCACCACACCTGACCAAGTTGAAGTATCTTGTGATTTTTTCTGACAGTGCAGACTGAAAAAAATTTAACCTGACAACAAGAGATTACTGAATATTACATAATTGAGTTTTTAATCCATTAATGTTAAGGCAGGAGTTTAACACTTTTAAAGTGTCAGAAGTAGTTGCCAATGCCAAATTTTTATCAATCCCCTTGAATTTATTTGATTTCTAACGTTCCACATTTCCATCCAGACTTTGAAATGATTGCCTTCTAATAACTGTAGCATTCTCTTATTAAAACTTCTGGCTGGGCATGGTGGCTCATGCCTGTAACCTCAGCACTTTGGGAGGCCAAGGCGGGTGGATCACCTGAGGTTAGGACTTCGAGACCAGCCTGACCAACATGGTGAAACTCCGTCTCTACTACATACAAAAAATTAGCTGGGCATGGTGGCAGACGCCTATTGAGTCTCCCTCTTTTGCCCAGGCTGGAGTGCAGTGGCGCGATCTTGGCTCACAGGTACTCGGGAGGCTGAGGCAGGAGAATTACTTGAATCCGGGAGGCGGAGGCTGCAGTGAGCTGATACCGCGCCATTGCACTCCAGCCTGGGCGACAGAGCAAGACTCTGTCTCCAAAAAAAAAAAAAAAGACTTCTCAGGTAGGGGCTCTACCGTATTTTTACCCCACACCCATTAAGCAAATACCAAAAACAGCTTGTGGAAATTTGATAATTTTATAATTATTTGATAATTTTGATAATTTTTTCAAATGTATTATTTGGGCAAGATTGACATTTACCATGCTTTTCCCTATTCCCAGTAAACATGGGTTTAAGGAAGAGTGTTTTTCAGAATTTACACTGTATATCTCTGATCTGGAAGTTATATAATTGGAATTTATGATTATGAGATTAAACTACCAAAAAGACTAAGTAACATATCAATGATATCAATGAATTGTTTTAAATGGAAGTGTGTGTTCCTCCGTAATAAGTTGACTTTTGATATTTTCATTCTTGTATTGACCTGAAGCCATTAAAATGGTGGCAGGTATCTGTAATGACAGGATAAAGAAATAATATGGCCTTTGGAAGATCATAGACTATAGCCTTTGTAGCATAATGAAATCCATACATTTTTGTGAGTGAGTGTGTATGTACATGCATAAGATAATGTGTAAAGGATACTATTTTTTTTAAGCAATTTTCTCTAGCAATGAGCATTTTGTGGTATTTTTCCATTTTATAATTCCATAAATTAATTTTAATTCCTTATTAAACATCAATATTACCAAAGCAGTAAATTATGTACATTAGAATTTTGAAAAGTGCTACATAATAATCCCTTACAATTAAAGCCTCAAAATGTGTTCTATATCATTATATGGCACATAAGATCATAAGTAATGGATTCTGAAAGCCAATTATAAAAACAAAAAAATTATCTGTCCAAATACGTGGATAAATGGGTGAGTGTGAACAACATTATCTTTGCAATTAATGCCTACTACACTTTTTTTTGTTGTTGTTTTGAGATGGAGTCTCCCTCTGTTGCCCAGGCAGGAGTGCAGTGGCACGATCTTGGCTCACTGCAACCTCCGCCTCCTGAGTTCAAGCGATTCTCCTGCCTCAGCCTCCTGAGTAGCTGGAATTACAGGGGCATGCCACCAACTAAGTTTTTTTTGTTTGTTTTGTTTGTTTGTTTGAGATGGAATCTCACTCTGTTGCCAGGCTGGAGTGGAGTGGTACAATCTCAGCTCACTGCATCCTCTGCCTCCTAGGTTCAAGCAATTCTGCCTCAGCCTCCTGAGTGGCTGGAACTATAGGCGTGCGCCACCACGCCCAGCTAATTTTTGTATTTTTAGTAGAGACAGGGTTTCACCATTTTGGCCAGGATGGTCTCAATCTCTTGACCTTGTGATCCGCCCACCTCTGCGTCCCAAAGTGCTGGGATTACCACCGTGAACCACCGCACCCAGCCTAAGTTTTGTATTTTTAGTAGAGACGGGGTTTCACCATGTTGGCCAGGCTGGTCTTGAGCTCCTGACCTCAAGTGATCTGCCCACCTCGGCCTCTCAAAGTGCCAGGATTACAGGCATGATCCGCTGTGCCCAGCCTCGCTTGCTACATCTTTTAAAGCAGTAATCCATAACACACAGAGAGAAAATCCTGGAAGTGAAAACAAAGTGGGATACATATGTTAGGGAAGTATGTTTAAAAAGGTTCACTGAGGAAAAGGTGTGCATAAGGGGAGAATATACTGCAATCCACTTACTGGATGTGGAACAAGTGAGGTCTAAGGGTGGGTTTGAATGCCATTCCACATTCCTTGGACATGATGGTGATATTTTCAGTATAGTGGATTAAAGCATGGGTCCCTACCCCCTGGGCCACAGACCCTGTTGGGAACAGGGCCAGACAGCAGAAGGTGAGCAGTGGGCAAGTGAGCAAGGCTGAGTTCTGCCTTCTGTCAGATCAGTGGCATGAGCCCTATTGTGAACTGTGCTTGTGAAGGACCTAGGTTGCAGCCAGGCGCAGTGGCTCATGCCCGTATTCCCAGCACTTTGGGAGGCAGAGGCAGGCAGATCACCTGAGGTCAGGAGTTGGAAACCAGCCTGACCAATACAGTGAAACCCCATCTCTACTAAAAATACAAAAATTAGCCGGGCGTGGTGGCAAGTGCCTGTAATCCCAGCTACTCAGGAGGCTGAGGCAGGAGAATCACTTGAACCCAGGAGATGGAGGTTGCAGTGAACCGAGGTCACGCCATTGCACTCCAGCCTGGGCAACAAGAGTGAAACTCTGTTAAAGCAAAAAAAAAAAAAAAAAATCTAAGTTGCTTGCTCCTTGTGAGAATAAAATGATAAATGTAATGTGCTTGAATCATCACCAAACCATCCCCATCCCCTTCACCTCACCTTGTGGAAAAATATTGTCTTCTGCAAAGCTGGTCCCCTGTGCCAAAAAGGTTGGGAACTGCTGGATTAAAGGGCTTTACTCAATAAATTATATCTAAGTGGGGAGACTTTTTTCCACTATTGATTTTCTTCAGTATACCTTCACTGGATGCTTGCTAGTCATTAAGGTCCATGCTACCTCAATTTGCATGGTGTGCTGAGAATTGGTAATACCACCTTCACATTCTTGTAATTCACTAGGAGGACTCAAGACACCCTATGTTATCATAGTCACTATGATTTATTATAGTAAAATATATAAAGTAAGTTGAGCAAAGGGAAAATGTGCATGGGATGAAGTCCAGAAGAAATCAGGTACAAGCTTCCAATAATCCTCTTCCTGTGGAATCATTCGTGATGTACTGTTTCTTCAGCATTGAATTGTAACATGTGAAATGTCTATCCAGGAAGCTCAATGGAGACTTAGTGCCCTAGGCACTGTGTTGTGTTTTGTTTGTTTTGTTCTGGAACTGGTCACATAGGCCAGCTTGGGCCAAAATTCTAGATTCCCAGAAGGAATTCAGCATAAATCACATTATACAAATAGCTGGGGCATGGTGAGCCACTCTTATTAGGGAATTCTGGAAATCCTCCTGAAATTCAAGTTCCTGGACACCAGTCAAGGGCTAACCTTGTATCTTGTGCTGCTATAACAGAATACCACAGATTAGGTAACTTATAAACAATATAAATTTATCTGTCACAGTGCTTGAGGCTGGGAAGTCCATAGTGAAGATGCTGGCAGGTTTAATGTCTGGTGAGGGCTGCTGCTTTCTGCTTCCAATATGGCATCTAGTTGCTGCATCTTCTGGAGGAGACAGGTGCTATGTCCTCATATGGTGGGAGCAATGAAAGAGCAATAAGGGATTAAGTTTTAACAAGGCAACACCATCAAACTATAGCCTGTTGCAAGCAGGCCTTTTAAGTATAACAGCCTCAGGCCTATGTTAACTCTTTTCTGAACACAGGGCTTCAGAAATCCAGTACCTATATTCTTTTCTTTTTCTTTCTTTGTATGACCAGATACTACATTAAGTCATCTTCATTCAAGGTAATTTGTAACCAAAACTAGTAGACTAAACCAAATAATTTCTTGCCCCTCCACCCCATAACTGATGACTGTAGGTACAGTCTACATCTACCTTCCTTGTGACCTGAGTCTTGAGGTTAGTCACAAGATAGCTGTAGAAACTGGGAGCTATCTGGCTTTATTTGTTTTTGGTTGGTGGTTGGTTGTTCACAGTCAAGAGGAGAGAACTGTCTCATTTGTAGTATTGTATAGTTCATGTCTCCCAAAATGCATGGCTACTCTAACTCCCATCCACACTCAAGATTAACTCCTTAGCTCTTACCTAGTATGCCCAGCCCTTGTGGGATAATTCAGTTTTGCCATCTGTGGGCTTGACTTTCCTGTTCATCTTTGGCCCTTGGGATTTCCCTGTCTTAGCTTTGAGTTTAGCTACATTTTAACACTTAGGGGATACTGTCACATAACATTTTTGTGTCTTTGAAAAGATCCACGATATTGTGCAATGATTACCACTATCTAATCCTAGAACTCTTTCGTCTGCTCCCAAAAGAAACCCCCTACATGAGCTGGGTG